CTACTTGGTGCTTTAAAAAATCATATGGGTATGTATGTATTTATTTATTTATTTATTTTTATTTTCTGGTCCTGTCTGTTTTATAGTTTCTATCTAATAGTTTGATTATCTGATGTTCTTGTGGTCTGATCCTGCTCTTTGTTGTCTCTGATGATGCTCACTTGCAATGAAGTTCTTGTAATTTTGGAATTTATCTCATCTTTAGGATAGGGTTATCTGTTGGAGTACCATGTGGCATAGGTGAAGGATATGTCCTCCTGGAGACATTTTATTTTTCCTATGGGTACTCATAGTAGCATTAGTCCAGGACTTCTTTTTTTTGTTTGTTTATTTCTCAGCATTGGGCTACTTGGACCGCATGTAGAGTGTACATTTGAACCTACAACCCAGTGAAAGCAGGCTTGTTGTTAAGAATTTTCAGAGGGGATCTTTTCCTTCACCCAGAATCCAATCCAAGATGTAGAAGCATCTTTGTCATCTTCTGTGTGGGTGAAGGGACATTTTTTTCTGATTCACCATTTCACTGGCGTGTTTTGAGGGTCCCAGTTCTGTGAAGGAGCTTGTCTCCTGTTCCTGCATGGGCGCTAATGCCCAAGTCCCTGGTTCACTGAGCTCAACAAGTGTCCTCTTCCCTGCCCACTCCATCCACTTTGGCTAGAGCTGCATCAGCTCAATTGCTTCTGCTCTGATTTTCAGTTCCCCCTGTTTTGGGGGCCCTGCTGATTTCCTTTACTCTCTTGCAAGCCCTGTCATGCAGTGAAAAGGAAGTTTGTTATAGCTGATCTGGCATTTCTAGGTGTTTTGCAGTAGGGAGATTCTTCTTGTTTACAGTATTGCCTTTGTACTTTTTAAAGTTAGAAATAAAGGAGAAAAGTACATCTCACTGGATCAGGAAAGGCCTTAAAGATGGATGTCAGAGGATAGAGACGTGGGAGGGGGCACAACAGGTGCAAAAGCATGAAGGCAGGAAGTGACCATGCAGGAATGGAGAAGAGCACATCACTTTCTTTCACTGGAATGTGTCAGGGAAAAGGAAAATGAGATTCAGCTGGACCATGGAGCAACAGAGAGCTACTAAAGTCTCACAGCAGGGAACAGAAGGATCACAAGCTCTGTTTCAGGAAGTTTATAAACTGGAAGCATGTCCAGGATGAACGGGTGTGGCTGGAAGCAGGTGGGAGAGGGGTTTGGATTTGGAAAGATGTCTCTGGAGGCTGTGGAAATAGCCCAGGTACTAGGTAGTACAGCCTGAGTCGGGGAGTCGGGAAGGAGAGGAGGGAACTACCAGGAGGGAGACTCAGCTAACCAGATGAAGAAATCTGGGTCAAGAGCTGGGGGAAAATAGAAGAAAAGCCAGGCAAGCACATTGTCTGAATCCTGGGAAATGAATTTAAAATGTCAACAATTATCTGAGCTGCATTCTACCTTTTAAGATTGTTCAGATACTGCCCACAAACGCTAATGCACAGTTGGTCTCGACTCTGTATGCAGCTGAAGATGTTTTTAGGTCACTTGATGAAAGGTTGTCTTTGGATTAGAGACAGCATGTCCCAGCAGAGCTTCCAGAAGTGAGTGGGGATGTGTTTGTCTTCTCAGAACCTGCTGACATGACTGATCATGGGGATGATGAGCCATCCTCCAGTACAGGGAGTCCAAACGGGGAAGGTCGGGTCTCTGAGGACAAATCCTTGCTTCATCAAAAGCTGGCAGTCAGGGAACTCATCGACACCGAGGTCTCCTACTTGCACATGCTCCAGCTCTGTGCCTCAGACATCAGGAGCCACCTGCAGCAGGTACGAGGGTGGGGCCACACTTAGCCTGTCTTTATAGCGGCAAACGTAGGTCCCAGCTTCTGAGACCTCACATCTGTTCCTGGAGCTGGCTTGTTGGAGGGGAATGTGTGGTGGATGTGAAGTCACCTGGATGTAAGCCCCAGTACTTCCACTTACTGGCCCAGCAACCTTCAGCAAGGCCTTAAACACCCTAGTACCTTTGTATATTCACCTGTTGAATGTGGGGAGGAATAATCACCTCAGAGAATTAAGTGAGCTAATGGGTAAAATAGCCATTTATTAGGTTTAGAACAGATTGCTTTAAGCGACCTGCATTCTAATTGTCTCATTTGGAGGATGGTAAAAATGGAGAAGTTATCACTATGATGGGTTTCTATTTTAATGTTCTTTTTTTTTGCATCTTTTTCTTTCCTGATTTCAGAAATAACACAGGCTTTCTCTCTAAATGTTCAAGGATCCCCTAGAATGTAAGCTCCATAAGGGGAGAAACTGTTTAGTTCAATATATCCCAGTTCTTGATACATAAGTAATAGACTTCAATTAGTGTTTATTGAGTAAATGAAATAATCAGGTAGGTAATGTAGAAGATGAAAGTCTTCTTGTATTTCACCCTCCAGAAATTGGGATTTTTCTCTGCAGGCATTAAACAAACATAGTTTGTTACTTACTTTAATAAAAATAAGAGCATACTCTGGATGTTTTTCTAAGTTAGATTTTCCCACTTGATTGTGCCTCCAGGACATCTTTCTATCGATGAACATATATAGATGTCCTGCATACTTTTAAACAGTGGTATGGCTTAATTCATAGGGGCTGGAGTTCAGAGTGTTTCTCAAGGTAATGGTGGTAGATGCCAAGTATGTTAGAGCTGGAAAGAAGTCCAGCTTCCCACCCTTATATGACAGATGGTGAAAATGAGAGAATGAAAATTACAGTTGGCAGCAGATCTAGGATAAAACCCCAGTTCAGCTTTCCTTTTATGCTGAGCGCTCCATCTCGTCCTCTCTTCTTGTAATGAAAATAACTAATTTAT